TCGATATCGAATCACTTCTTTATGTTTTTAAAGATATTTACATTTTTTATTTTTTTTTTTTATTCTTTCATTTTTCATGTTAACAGTATAAGGCTTAAAGGGCCTTCATGACACTTTGAATTTGGCTCATAGCAATTTGAATCTTTTTTTCTTCTCTTTATAATTAAAGCTATAGATCGAAAGAACTGAATTGAAATACTTTATTTTCCCTGAGGGGATATTTATTTGTGGTAGATAGATCCTTACAAAAATACTACTCAGGTTTCTGCTGCATATTTGTATAGCAGCGAGAAGAGCACTAGTACGTTTTTTTTTTTTTTTTTTTTTACTTAAAGCACTTTGTAAACCATATAGTGCAACTACTACTTATTTCATTTAGAATCATTTCTTGTCGAATCTTTTCTTGTTGAAAAAAAAAATTTTTTACAATTACGATAATGGTAAATCATTGTAATTTCAGAATAAGCTAAAATGAACATCGATGGAATCCTGTTTCGGCAGAATGAACAATATAAATAATATGTGACAACATTGCCTTCTTAGTGGTGGGGGGGGCAGGGACATCTGGGAAGAAATCATCCAAAAAACACATCCAAACAGGACCAGCGCCTGGCTATTGTGTCTCACCCTGCTGAGATTGCAAGAGAAGAGAGCGAACTTTGTGGAGTTTGTTGGCCACGGAGCCAAAGCAGAGACAAGCTGCATAGAGCAGCAGTGAGCGCTGAGCTGGGCTGGGCATCAGGGGTGTCGGTGCTGAGGGGGCTGAGGGGCCAAGGTCTCCTCGCTGTGGGGGATATTAAGCCCTCTGATTAGATCTCAGGGGCCGTGCATGGCAGACTTTTCCTTTACTACAGGCCCCAGCTCATCTTTATTTTGGCAGGGTGGTGCTCTCTGCAGGCTGCACTGCACCAATACTAAGCTGTTTGTGCAGGGAGGAAAAATAAGTTTATCCTTTCCCCCCCATCTTCCACTCTCCATTTCATTTATTTATACGGATAGTGTATTAATTTTAAGAAATCACAACATGAAATATTTGAGTGTTCTGTGGCAAATACAAATGAATTGTGAGTCGATTTGGGTTGTTCTCAGATAGGTTGGAGTTTAACGTTAAATCTTTGTTCTTTACTTTCTGCTTTTTTTTTTGTCCAAGTTGTCATAATCCCAACTTCACACAGCAGCATAAGAGCTGCATCTAAATAACAAGCTAATTAAACTACCTTATTTGTCACAGTAGTGTGGATTTTAAGGCATTGCTTCCTGTAGTTATTCAAGTTTGTTCCTCATGTGGTGACATAAGTGGAAAAAAAATGCACACACATACACAAACACACACATCCAGGACTTTCATCAGACACACTTTCTTCTGTTTTGTTTGTCTTAAGCACATATTCCCAATCACAATTTCCACACCAGCCCTTCCTACAGCTCCTAAGGGTGCAGGCAGACACTTCTAGCTGCAGGCTCCCCCACTTCTGAAACCTGTCAAATCTGTCCTGGGAGAGTCAGCCTCTCTCTCATCATCCAGGGGCTTATGGACCTCTCTCCATTTACCCTCCCTCCCTTACACAGCTCTCTTTTCCTCCTCCACTTCCCTCCTTTCATCTCACATCCAAACTTGCCAGTTGCAACCTTCTCAGCTTCCTTTAAGTTTTTTCTCCTTTTCTCCTCTACATTCATCTGTCCTCATCTACTATCTTTAACTTACTTTCCCTAATACTTTTTTTCCGTTCTTGTTTTTCAGTGCCAGGCAGTCCTATCACTACTTCAACTCCGGATGTTTGGATTCAGGATAATCAGGTGTGTAGAAAGAATGACAATCACTCGCTCCCTCCCAGTGCGTTTGGGGTCACAAGGGGGGGAGATCAAACTGAAACATGTGCTCTGGAGGGGGAATGGGTTTTTAAACAAAGAGGAACCTTGTTAAAAAGCGAGCTCAACAGCCCCGTCACCACCTAGTTTGATCAAAGTTTTGCTTTCATGTCTGGACTCATTACATCTACCCAACGCACTTTTTAAACGGGCAAAATAATGCATTTAGCAGCCAGTGCATGCAATAGTTCTGGTACAGGTTAAATACTGCACTCAAATCGATCCACTCAATGTAAATGCGAGTAGAGAATTATTCAGCATGGCAAAAATAACATATGGGGTTGTTTTAAAGTACTTACAGTTTAGAGGAATTAGTGGTTCTGGCTTCTTTAGTCACAAAATGTGTGTATAAACATTGTAATTTTCACGGCTTGCATTATATAATTTACCTTTATAAATGATCAATGTTCTACTATACCAATCAAGCTGCTATCCTTAATACATGACTATCATGCACTCATAACATAGTTCCAAACCCCCTTTTGGGCAAAAAGGTCACTACTTAAATAAACAAAAGCCTTTTAATCTTGTTGCAGATAAGTACAGTTTTTGACAACATATTGCTTTAAGTCTGGAATTTCAAATTTGTGAAACATTTGCAGCACCTGCAGCTAAATACTAAAATATGTCGTATTTTTGACTGAATTACATGATGTAGCATTTTTCTTTCACGTTTCATTTATGGCCTACTTTGTGTTGGTCTGTCGCATAACCTTCAAAAGTGCAAATAAATTTGTGTTGAACATGATCAAATGTGGCGTTCGAGAAGTAAAGATTTTATAAGGCATGTTAAACAGCCACTAAAAAAGATGACCACTGGCATTGAATGCTTGAAAAAGTTATCCTCCCTGTAAAATAATTGAATAAAATTGTTAAAAATATATGAAAGTGTTGAATAAGAACCTAGTGGACGTGTGTGACTGTAAGAAAGTTTTAGAGTAAAGTTTCTGTTCAGCTAAATTGGTGACAAATGTCTTCTTCGCTTTGATTTTTTAAAACTCAGCTTGAAGAAATATATTCAAGGACAGCTGTCAGCTAATCTCTCAATTGCTCTGCTCCCTCCAAGCGCTCTGACTTTAGCTCAGCTTGCCTGTCCCCCGCATCCCCAACAGAGGGAGGCCTTTCAGTTTATCCAGCACTCTCCTCTGCACGTCTTCCTGGCTACCATAGGCCTCTTCGCCCATCTGTCTGTCTGCTCTGCGACCGCTGTCCTGAGGGGGCACTCTGTCTCTACCTCCTTCCCCTTCCCTTCCTCCGAGCATCCCTCCCTCTCTTCCTCCTCTCTCTCATGTGTCGTGATCGATATGGACGCTAAGGGAGTGGGGGGGACCTGTCTGTCAAAGACAGCGGAGGAAAATGAAGGCTCAGATGAAGGAGGCATGCTCTGTATATTAAATGCCCAGACCCCTGTGAGGGGTGGAGGGAGAGGAGTTCCGTGGTGGAGGGAAATATCAATAGGCTTCTTCTAAAAAAAGAGATAAGGCCAAAACAGCTATGTAGAGTAGAGGGAGAGGGGTGCAGACAAGAATGTTGTGAACTGAGGTAGATGAAGATGTACAGGAGGAGAAAAGATGCAGAATGTGAACTAATGATGCCAACTGATTTAAAAGGTAGAAATAAGGCAAATGAGTTTATTGTGCAAAGGATGGATTAATATGGGGAGGGGGCTGGAGGGGTTAAAGAAAGTAGGAGGAGGAAATGAGCTGGACCCAAAAAGTGGTAGGAAGAGTAAAGAGCTGAGATGGGAGAAAGAGTGAAGAGCCGAAGTTAACGACTTTGCAGATTTCATTATAGAGATAGTTAACCCTGTTGACACTGAAGGAGGGCGCTATTCTCTCAGGAGGAGTCCGGTCCTTCCACCTCCACGTACAGAGACAGATGAGATCATTACAGCTATCAGCACCACTGCCATCCACAATTAGCACATCTCCCTTTCTTTCTCCGCTCCTCCATCCCCCAATCTCCGTTCGACTCACACTGTTTTCCCCCCTGCACTCTTTCTGTCTCCCCCCGCTCACCTTGTGACACTTCTTTGGCCTTGGTTTTGAGGCAATTTGACGAAACAAAAGCCACATGGTGCAAACTGCTATCAGCTTTATCCGGCTTGCCTGCTTGACCTTTCAAGACTCGATTAGAAGCAATGCGGCCAAGAAAACATATTTATATCCCTTGAAGTTTTTCACGTTATGATCACAACTTTCAAAGTATCTCTTAGGGATGCTATGTAAGAAAGCGCCTCAAAATAGAATATAACTGGGATTCAGATAGATACAAGGCTTTTAATTGTTTTTAAAGTGATTAACTAAAAGACAAAGGCCAGTATGAACAACAATACAAAAATCATATAGCGACCCAGTAAACAACGAACATAGATTGCTCTTTAAGGCCTACAGTACATAAAAAGAACTGTGTGGAGGAAAACTAGCAATTCATATCAACCTGAGCCTTTCATCCCTTTTCTGAAACATAGTAGTGCCAGCATCATGCATTGGGAAATGCTTTATTTCAACAGGAGATGGACCAATAAATGGGGACAAATGTAAGAAACAAAAGCCCGATAAAGTCAGCAAATCCTTCAGTTCTAGAGTAGAGGTTTAACATTCCTGCAGGACAACCTTAAAAACATAGCTACATCAACTATCCATGTTTTGCAAATTTTTCCTATTTATTTCTTAGAGTGATCTTAATCTGAGGAATGTGTGAAAATATTTCAAAATTGTTATAATATCAGCGTATTTGTCCTATTTTATCAAAGAGAAGTATAGAAAAAGTTCCCTAGATGTTAACATGAATACATGAATGAAGACTTGCAGCTGTAATTGTAGCAAAATGGATTTTTACAAAGAATTGATTCAGGGTTTCATAAATATACTTATTTTTGTTATACTGCTAATATAAAACAAATCCTAAAGATATATCCACATCTCATTTTATCACTCTACTTGGTGCTAATCAACACTGCATTTTTTTTTGTTTAAACTGACAAAATTTAAAAATGTTCAGTGGGTATGAAACGTTTTGCAGGATACTGCCTTAATATATTACATTACCAATAACAAATTTACAATTTATATTTCCTCTTGTTATTTTGTCTTATTTTACTGGATTTAATCTCAAGGCACTGTACAAACCTGTAAAGCAGACTGGACACTTAAAGGTTCCACCCATGCCCTCAAAGCTGTGTTCAATCAGGTGGCATTGAAGCTTCGCCGGTGAGTCGAATGACTGACTACAGAGCTTGCATTCATGGTTCAGTCCTTCCTCTGTGGAGAAGAAACAACACAAACACATAGAGAAACCATGAGTGGAAAAATAAACCGAGCATGAATGGCCAGGGAGCAGCAAAAGGTCTCTCTCTGGTCTTAACCATAACACCAACATTTCCCTTCATATGAAATTAAAACTCTTAATTTCTTTGACTTTTCATGGTTCAAACAGGAGAAAAAAAAAAACATGTGACCCTTTCTAATCAGACACTAATTGGACAACCAGTTGGGGCCTTAATTGTTATTGCTGAAAAACATGGCGGACGTCACCTTTTATGATTAACTTGCATGAACAATCATTTATTTTTAGAATGTTCTAATTAAAATAACAGAATTAGGAGTAAAGGAAGAAATGGCTTTGGAAGAGTCAGTATTACAGTGAAATACAGATTTTTAACTTTCTTGACCCTCATTTTCATATCAGCAATCTCCAACTTTACAACTAGGACGACTGTACATATAATGCCGAATTATATATATAAGTATTATTGTAAAGTATATTAATTGGGATAAAAACATAGTTTTATCACGGTATCACCATTCTTTTACTTTTCAGTTAACTTGATGTCTCAAGCAATTTTAATTAAATTAATCATCTTTGGTTGTAAGATTTAGATGCAGGCACCAGAGACATGAACATTTTTTATTTATAAGCATTGTTCAAAGACATATGAAATACCATGTAATAAAGAACCAAATAATGATTTGTTTAATGCCAAAAACACAATAAGATGCTACATGACAGCTGGTGTACTGGCAAAGAAACCCATATAGTTCAAAAACATTAACAAGCACTTAACAAAATGCCACAACTCTGATCTACAGTATGCACTTTTATTTGGATTGGCCCGCTGAATCAGATTTGTAGGAAAGTGATCGTTTTCACTGTGTCAATAAAATGGTTTTATACTGCCACAGGGCCAGACTGTCCACCATCAAACCCCTGGCAGAGGTGATCATTACAGGTTTGGGGGTAACATGGATACCTCAGGGGCTCATCTAAGGTCTATCCTCTAGTCTCCACAGCTCACTGCTCACCACGTGTATATCTATTCATGTATATAGAATCAAACTGAACAGCTGTACATGGCCGAGTCCAAGCTGAAGGTTTATAGTCTGTATCATCAGCCAAACTTGGTAAAACTAAGCAATACAAAATGAGACAATAGCAATGTTAGATGTAAAACATAATATCTAATTTGTAATGTAGTATAACAGGATTTAAAGGTGGGCTGGTGTATTTTTATTTATTAATATATATATATATATATATATATATATGCATTTATTCATTACCAAATTTGTATTTTCCTCTTCTCTTCTTTTCTTTATGACTATTACATCCCACAAAGTAATGGCATCTTTAGAAATATAACCGCTATCTCAGCTTCTTTGCCTTCAATTTGAGAGTAAGTACATGTGACAACTTCAACCCAGTGATCATTAATACTCCATCAAATGAAGGGGATTGAAACATTCCCTGTAGCGCTAGAAAAAAAAAGAAAATATTCAACTTTTACAAAGTAGTCCCAGCCACTACATTTCCTTTCAAACTAATATAAATCTTTACCTTACGCTCAAAGTCACACAATATATATGCTTCACTGAAACATGGAGTAAGCAGCATATATCTTCATGTGCCCGTAGTCAACATCTCTGCATGGCACGCAAAAGCCGATCAAAGCAGCTTAAAGTAGCTTGAGAGAGAGGGAGTTGATTTAGTGTTTTCTGCAACCATGTATTTGACAGATGAGTTACTCTGTACCCTACTTGTGCATCTGAGTGTAGCACCAGGTATCAGGAAAACAGGAGGGGTGGGGGGCTAGGGGTTAGAAAGAGCGGAACAAGTGCATCCAGGCAGTGAAAGAGGATCACCATTCTCTTTGATCACGGCCCGATTTGCCTATCTGTGTTAGGGTGTGCAGACTTAAGGTCAAGTTTGCTGCAGCTGATGTGTATCTGCCTCTCCAGCATATGCATAGACCTCATTTTGACCCTTGTACACAAAACTGTCCCTTTGGAGACCTGGTCTGCCTTGTTATGCAGATAACTCCGCACCTGCATGACTGACCTTGTGCAATGTTCATATCTGTAAGCAGGTGCATTAGGGGGAGATGAAGGTAGAAAATTTGGGGCACTTCTCTTAAAGGACAAGCATTATTTACAATTATGTTTAAAAGAATGGTCTACAGTTTGATGTATTTTCCATTAAATAGTTTGAGAACAATAATAACCCTCTGCATATGTCCCTACTATTAGTTACTCCACATTCTGTTTCTTCCACCATATTTATTATATCTACAACATAATCTTACCAAAGCAGTGGCCATTCTGGTTAGTACAAATGGTTATTAAAATAAAAAGGTCCTTATTTCGAGATACAAATTACCTTTCGACTTTTTATTTGAAATGTTTTTGGAGTTTTATAATACTTTTCATGCACTTACCAAATATCAATTAGGAATGTACAAATTATCTAACAGGTTGGTGCAGATTGATGCAAAGTTTTGGCAAATACATCCCACACCTGAAAGAGTCAGCTTATGTCCTTCATTAATCACATACTGGTACTTAGAGTTGCAGGAATTATCACATAACTGACCTCTAAGTATGAAATGGAAAGGTACACAAGAGAGTTACAAAAATGCGAACCACAGCAGTATAGAAGGGTTTAAAGAAAAAACTATCCTTACTCAATATTATGGCAAATTAATCATTTGTTAAACATAATTTCAAATTCAAGATGATAATAATAGCAAATTTGATTACCTTGTGATCAAAAGGCAGAAAACACAGATTAGGTAATAATGAAGTGAGAGTCTTAGTTATTACGGAGTGTTATGTTATCGGCAATACAGCTTTGAGGACTGTGTTTGTATTTTGTAAAGTAGCAGAAGCTGAATTAGGCTGGCAGCCTGTTTCTTAGTGAGAGCCAAGGGAGGAAGTCAGCTTCCTCACCCCTATAGATGCCTCATTGGACTGAGGTCACTTCCTCTTGCCCCCCCCAGCCCTGCCCAATCAGCAAGGCCCGTTGTGGTGCCCCCACCCCTCTCAGAGCACCATGCAGACTCTGGATATAGTTACAAGGCCTCAGGGGACTGTCAGTTTTCTCTCTGCTTCTCTCTCTATCCTCCTCTCTCCCTCCTCCCACTCTGTTTTTCCAAGTCTCCCGGGTGTTCTCTGCTGCCACCACCCTGTCCCCCTGCACTCCTAAGAAAATCCTTTAGATGAGAACTGCTCCTGCGTCTGCTCCCTCTAAGCATCCCTGACACTAGCAAAGTAAGCCCATCTGCATATCCACAGGGTCTCGCGTTCCTGGGGCTCATGGTTTATGTATTTCACAGCTCCTTAAAACACAAACGCCTAATATCTCTCCCATGTGGAGGACAGGAGAGGGAGAGGGGGAAACTTCTTTCATAAAGAATGGTCTCCATTTCTCTGTGCTGTTTACTTTTTTATCCATGCAGAGATCTATGTGCTGTTGGAAGGTTGTTTTGGATGCAGGGGCTAGCAGATCTGGCTCTTATAAGCTTAGAAAAGTTAAAGCTGACGCAGGTTTGGTCCGTTCAGTTTGAGAGATTTTGATTCCATCGACTTGCTAAAAAGCGTTCGGAGACCTTGTATTTTTTTTTTTATATTTTGTCACTTCACAGTTAAAATCCAATGGATTTGAAAATGACTGCATTTGTTAGACTCACAGTAATACGGTTATTGTTTGATTCTTTGCAATCTATTATAGCTGCGGCTCTATTTGCAGGGTTAATATTTTACCTTTAAGGTGAACTTTTGCTGCCTCTAACATATTTACAGGTTTATGCTGTATTTAGTTCAAGCAGCTTCCCAGCCCCTTCAAACATTCCTACAGCATAATTCAGCCACCTCTATGCTTCATCCTCAGTCTGTCTCACCTGATCAGAGTACCTTCACACATGATATCTGTGCCCCTTTATAAGACTTGAAGCAAAATGTAAATCAGCTTGTCGTTTGATTGCAGCAATGAAAGTCTTTGTGTCACATTCCCATAACACAGATTTAAGGAGACCATGACTAGTAATTGTTCAGCAGCAGACTCTCAACCTGAGCATTTAAATCTCCTCAGCTCCTCCAGTGTAACCATAAGCCACACACTTTTTTTGATGAGTACCATTCTAATGCTTTCCATATTACCTGACTTGGATTTGATTAGGCCTCAGCAAACCGTGGCTCCAGAGCAACATGTGACTCTTCAGTCCCTCTGCAGTTACTATAACTGTTTGTATCCATTGCTGATAAAGAACAGTGCAATGTGAAATTATTCCAGGGATCTGAATACTTTTTCAAAGCACAATAAAACTGGAAATATCTATCCTACTTGAGTAACATAGTGAAACTAGAGTAACCGAAGGCCACCTTAACTTGAAATAATAGTGTGCAATTTAGCACAATGCAGGGGTATTGTTTGATTAAAAATTCTCTCTAATCTTATTCTGTTTCGTCGTCACCCCTGTCCCTTACTCCATTTCAACAATTCTGCTGAGAAGCGGTTCGAATCAGAGCGCTTCATTTTCAACCAGAAAAATCTGATACTTAGATTTACTCTCCTCTCTGGGGTACAGTGAACACTTCTCTGAAGCTCACTATTAGAGGGACCCCAGTTGCTTGTGCGTCACCAGAGTAGATGATATTAAGGACATCAATCTGAGCACTTCTTTTTGCAGAGAGTAATGAGCAAACAAGTGGGAGAACAAATTGAGAATATTTAGTAGACTTGAATGGGCTGTTTGGAGACAGAGCAGATGTAGCGATCAAAGCTTGTCCTCTCAAACTAACAGGCCAAAGCGAGGCTGAGTATCTAAAATGTCAGACATTGCAATAAAAGAAAGGAATACCTGCTTTGGATGAGCATGTTTTATGAGGAACTCTTCCTTTGCTCCACCATCTGTCTCCTACTTTTCATCCTGATGTTGGAGTTATGTGTTAATAAACCGACAAGAACTGCTGTTCAGCAGACTCACTGC